CTGTCTACTCTTGGGAACGTTTTTTAATATAAAGTTGAAACTTCGTTTGTGCCTGTCTTCAGTCTCAGTCGCAACCAGGTTAATGAGAGGCATGAGCTTCTCACACTGCTGAGACGTAAGCGTTGGCAAATTTCCGTCAAGGAGGGCACCAAGGACAGAAAAAATTGATCCGCAACGAGACATAAAGTTGTTAAAATCATCAAGCGCCCCTAGATCAATTTTTTTCATATGAACAATGGGTTTCAGATGAAGTTTAGTTTCCTTCAGATTTCGACGAAGGGTTGCTCTCATTGCATTGTTACTAAAGTATGATAAATTCAGGTCAATTGATGAATTCAGCAGCAGCCAACAGATAGTTTCGAAACTGAGAGAGTTGACTAACAGCAACCCACTAGTAGAGGGATCACCGTTTCAGGAGATCGCTGGCTGCAGAAATAAACAGAGTGCTAAGAGAAAAGGTAAACGGAAACATGAACATACAGCCTCACCCTCACCAAGAGCGATGATAAACGACACTCCAAAATCGCAAACTAAGTTGCGAAGTGATAATGGCAGTACACTCTCATCATTGATAACTACCCAGATGAAGAACAATGACCAGCTCACTGGCAGAGTAGAAGCTGTCCGATCTCCACCACAGAAGAAGGTAAAAGGATTCGACATAAAAAAGACTACCGCATGGACGGAAACCTCAGAGGAAATCGCGGAGAATGTGACAAGGCATGATATTAATCCGCCGCAGAAGAGCAGAAAGCAGACGCTCACTGCCCCCGCAATGTGACCGAGGAGAACAAAGGAATTAATAATAAGACTCAGACCGTTCACATGCAACTGAGGTCACATCAAAAGAAGCAGTTAAATCAAAGGGGACTGACGACTGAAAAGAGAGAGACGGAAATCGGACGACTTCGGAGTACACGAAGAAAGGAACTTCCTAGGGTGGAAAAGCAGAGCTTGTCTGAGCAATCGACAGAAACCTCTAGCGCCAGCGTAGACACAGACGCGGCAAATGCGAATATCCTCTGTATTGACATAAAAGACAGGAGCAGTATTTCCCCAAACACGATACCATTAGCTGCAGAAAAGATCCCTGGAGTGGATGGCAACCAGAATGTCATCATGAATGGTTCGCCAGGAACTCCCAAGTCACCAACATCACGCAACCAAGACCGGCCGCTCCGAGAACAGTGCCTAGTAATACAGGGACTTCAGGAGCCTCAAGCAGATACACCTAAAGAACGCGTATTAGCTGATCTCGGCTTGTTCCAAGGTCTTCTAAACACACTGCTTCAACCCGACGAAGAAATTTCCGTGTTGAAAGCCTTCAGACTCGGAAAGCGCTCTACTGAACCCGCTATTACACCGCATCCTAGGCCCCTTAAAATTGTTCTGAGTTGCAAAGAGCATGTTGATCTCATCCTCTCAAGACGTTTTAGGTTAAAATATTCCCACCAAGGAGTATTTTTTCAGCCGGATTACACACCACCGGAGCGGATAAAACGCCGACAGTTAGTTCAGGAGCTAAGGCTGCGACAAATGAATGGCGAACAAGGCCTGGTTATCTACAACAACTGCATAATCGAGCGACCGTCCCGCTTCATATGGACACGGCCCGTGCGTATGTCGCCACAGCCGAGACAATTGGCAAAGGCGGCGTCATAGCTGGCTTACCAAAGGCAAAAAAGCTAAAATGCTTGTATTCCAATGCGCAAAGTCTGCTATCTAAATTAGATGAGCTTAAAATCTACGTTAACCAAACCTTACCCGATGTTATATCCATAACTGAAGCGTGGCTGTCCGCGAGCGTAGATGATCGCGAAGTCGCTTTATCTGGTTATCACTTGTTCAGAAAGGACAGGTTGGGACGTCAAGGTGGAGGTGTGTTCGTGTATGTCAAATATGGCCTTTTTGCGTCAGCAAAAGAGGCACAGCTCGCGCGCACAACTGAAACGATTTGGCTCACCGTCAAAACGCCGGGGTCACAAACTCTCGAGATCCTGACGGTCTACCGCCCACCGAGGAACGACCCGCAATCAGACAGTAGTCCACTAGAGGAATTAGAAGCGATTTCGCTCCGACCCAATGTCATGATTATGGGCGACTTTAAGGCTCCGAATATCGACTGGAATCTGACTTCTGCCCCGGGCTCAGAATTTAACTTTGATCGCCGCCTCCTAAAATCTGTGCAAAGATCGCATCTCACACAACACGTCTTATCCCCAACCAGACTACGTGAAGGACAACTAGCTAACTGCTTAGACCTTGTATTGACAAAGGCACCGGAAAGCGTTGATGTTGTAAACTGTCTACCCCCTCTCGGAAAAAGTGACCATGTAGTCCTACAGTGGGAGTATTCTCTCTTCTCTGTACCCGATCAAAACATCGTGATTAGACGCAACATATGGCGTGGTGACTTCAACCAAATGCGTCTCGACATGCGTCGTAGAGACTGGAAAGCAGCATTTACGGGGTGTGTCCTCAAGGACTGGCTAGAACTTAAGGCCATACTGAATGAACTTATCACCAGATACTGCCCTATGTCGAAAAAGAAAATCACCAGCAGGCCCCGATGGCTAAAGGGTTCACTAAAAGTTGAAGTAAACCGTAAGCAAAAGCTGTGGAAAGCATATATTAGGGACAAGACAACTGAATCAAGAAATAGGTATAAGGCTCAGCGGAATAGGGTAAAGTGCCTTGTTTACAAAGCCCGCCAAGACTTCGAGGGTAACCTTTTAAACTGTGCAGGAGAAAACCCAAAGCTTTTCTTCAACTACATAAGACAAAGTACTCGCAACAGGGATCCCATCCCTATGCTAAAAACTGATGATGGCGTTGAACTTTACAAGGACGACGAAAAGGCTGAGCATCTGTCCAGGTTCTTTCAGTCGGTTTTTACGAGAGAAGTCGCTGCACCCACTGATCACTGTAATGTGGACAATGTCCCGACAATTGACTCAGTGGTTCTCACAAAACCTATTGTTCAACAGGAATTACTGAAGCTAAAAGAAGGGACTTCGCCCGGTCCTGACGAAATACCGGCAAAGTTGTTGAAGGAATTGGCCACAGAATTGGCAGAACCTCTGAGCGTCCTCTTCCAAGCCTCTCTTGATGCAGGCAGACTGCCTCCTGAGTGGAAGGCTGCGTGGATTTCACCGATTCATAAAAATGGCAGTCGCGCTTCCGCAAACAACTACCGACCAGTAAGCCTCACCTCCATATGCTGCAAAGTTATGGAGCGAATAATCAAACGCGAACTGATGCGGTTTTTAGAGCAAAATCATCTTCTGTGCGATGCACAGCACGGCTTCCGCAGAGGGAGGTCCTGCTTGACCAATCTACTCTACTGTCTTGAACAGTGGACCCGAGCGATTGATGAAGGAAACGTTGTGCATGTGGCCTACATAGACTTCAAGAAGGCCTTTGACAGTGTGCCACACCAACGTCTCCTACACAAGCTCAGCCGCATAGGGGTAAGAGGCAAGCTTTTGAAGTGGATTGAAAACTTTTTGGTCGGTCGGTCCCAGACTGTTCGTCTTGGTGGCCAGCACTCGGCAGAGGTGACGGTTACGAGCGGAGTACCTCAGGGCTCCGTTCTTGGCCCTATCCTCTTCCTCATCTATATTGATGACTGTATCCATGGATTGGACTGCAAGATTGCCATGTTTGCCGACGATATAAAGCTTTAGACCGTCATCCGCAACGAGGACGATGAAGCAAATTTACAGGCAAACTTAGACCGACTTGAACAATGGTCAGGCCACTGGCTCCTCCCATTTAATGTTACCAAATGCAACATTCTGAGGATTGGCAGAACCAGTTCTGCGCACGGCAGACGTACTATCTAAATCACACACCGCTGCCACTGGTAGAGGTTCAGAAAGACCTAGGGGTGTGGATAACATCTTCACTAAAGCCATCATTCCACTGCTTGAAAGCAGCGAAATCCGCAATGTCCAGCTTATATCTCATTAAGCGGGCATTTGCCAAGTTCGATGAAGAGTACTTTCGCAAGGTCTTCGGGATGTTTGTGCGCCCACAGTTAGAATTTGCCATTCAGGCCTGGAGACCCTGGACTGTTAAGGATCGTACCACCCTCGAAAAAGTCCAACGACGGGCAACCAAGCTTGTCAGAGGTCATAAAAACCTATCCTACGAAACCAGACTTTCAAATCTTAACCTCTTCCCCTGGACTACAGACAACTGCGTGGCGACTTAATTCAAACGTTTAGAATGTTACGGGGTCAGGAATGCTGTCTCGCATCCGGCGACTTCTTTGAGCTGGCCACCACTACTAGCTTGAGAGGACACCCTCTGAAACTACGTGTGACAGGAGCGAGACTGGACGCAAGGAGGTTCTTCTTCAGCCACAGAGTGGTAAAGGCATGGAACGCTCTGCCGGTGGATGTCGTCATGTCCTCATCCGTGGACTCATTTAAGAGAAAGCTTGACCAGTACAGGGATATGTACCTCCACAGCATCAGAAACTAACGAATTCCCCCCCGTGCCACCCGCCCCATCCAACGTTTTATGTTACAAAGCATGCTACTCCCTATATTTTAGTAACATTACGTTTTACAATTTTCGCTATCTCCTGACCGCCACATATGCGCTCGCTTTGATATTACTTGGTCCATTCATTGCCGTACTGGATATTGTACAATTTTGACATAGAAGACATTCACAGACAAATTCATACCAGTGACCAATGCTTGTTGTATGTAATTACTTACCTTTTTTCACACTTGCCTTACACATTGTTTTTTTATGACATTATTGTAACCAAAAGGGAGTTCAAAGGCGCTCGCCTACTTTTCCCTTAATAAATCTGATCTGATCTGATCTGAACACAGCTTGTGATTTCATCACTTGGAAAAGCATATACTTTCTCAATCAACACTGCTGGCTCCCCTAATAGCAAAGTCGCCTTCAGCAAAATTCTGTATGAAAGGCTTCTAACCCTAAATTAGACAACTTGGACTTTTCTGATGTCACTACGCTCACCATTACTGTCCCGCCACTTTGTTACCAATGCCTGTGAACCAATTGCGGGATTACATCGCACATTGCGGAATTACACCTTCCCACCTTTGTTGCAGAGTCGAAGACAGGACAAATTCTCCATTGATGACGGAATGATAATTGGGTCGGTTGTCTTATGTGGGATGTTTGGATACATATAAAGGGTCCTGCAGTTCAGATTCGCAGAGTCAAACAAGAAGACTTCGGTCGTATAGATGCATCTAGGTAAACTATCAGTTTCATCAGAGTTACCCATAAGAGCGTCGATAGTTTTGAACTATATATTATAATCATAATCAAGCAATAATAATAATCAGGAAGTTGTTCAGATTAGACGGTGAGGAGAAGTAGGAGTACAATGAAAAAATTAACATGTGCAAGGGAAATAAGGTATAATTAAAATAACCGCCATTTATTTGTACACAGGTTTTTGGTTCACCACAACGTCGGCCGTGAATTTGCCTTTTGGGTGACTCCGAGCATAGACTACTGCTATATCATTCACAAGAAAACGCAGTGACTGTTTGACAAGGTGAAATAGCACTTTTTAGCGCACAGACGCAGCAAAAGACCGTAATCCACCAGGGAAACTCCTGTCCGGCCCAGTTGCGCTGAAGAGCGATGACCGGAGCCAATCGAAGAGGCTGCGATTGAACATTTGATACGCCGGTCATTTCCAGCCCCCCGTCGGGAAGAACACTTAAGCTAGAGGTAACCACCCGTTCCTAGCTCTCCTGCCATAGTGGCATCGTTTAAGATGCGCCTGAGTGTAACATGCGATGGTTGTTAAATTCCCTAACGTACTTAAATGTGCACAAGGAAATACTTTATGCCATATAAGTTCCGCTTCCATACCGGTCAGCAGGCGCTCCGATACATAGAGGTCATAGGAAAAAATGCCCGCCAAAACAAAAGATGAATTTCAGTTCATACGGGAATTCAGGAAGTGACCACTTGATGTTGCTTTCTAGGTCTTGTAGGGCAAAACTAATGAACATTTATCTTCCAAACAGTGTATTCAAGTAGGTAAATAGATTGTTAGACTATTCATACCGAACCCGTGGGATTTTATAGCAATGGCTGGGCTTGTCTATCATCGTTTAACCTTGTCATACGATAGTGGTACGTGCATTCGGAACGGATCTTGTGAAAGAGCTATACTTTCGGCACGTCTGAAAAAGCAACGCGGAACACATTCAACTATGCTCTCCAATGAAAACTCTAGGATAAATACCGCGTGGTTTGTAAAGTGTCTCAAGAGGGAAACAAGTAGCAGCAGTAAATACTGAAAGGGACGCGTGGAAACTGTCAGGCCGCTACAGCCGTAAATAATTCTTGGCAAATCAGATGACAAAGCGGGACGGGTTTATTGTTCGAGAAAATAGTAGCGATTCGTGACACAGAACAGTGGCTGGAGAAACCAAATACACTCCACAGTTTCAGATCAGAGAAAGACATGCATTTGCGGTTTAAAAGACGGTACAAATACAAAGTACGAACATACGGTGCAGTATTCGAGTCCATTTTGAATGATTGCCTCCAAAATGTAACTCATTTTTGTCGTATATAACGTTTCACCGAATATCCCTTTTAGGACTAGAGCATATCAATTTCCCGGGAGAAATTAAAATAAGGTATTCGCGGCAGTGAAAGCGTTAGTAGTATCGGATTCAACAAAAAGTGCCCACAAAACTACTGAAAAACTCCGATCGTCAAATTCGTAAACCGACATGGACGGATTACTAAATATGTCCCTTGAGGAAACTTGACAGTTTGTACATATCAAATTTTTATCTTTATCGGTCAATAAATTTCCTTTAAGCTATAAATGGCGTTCAAGTGTGCTGATCGATATGGTTCGTTGGGGGCTTCGCAATCACGCGTGAAGGTCCGCTAACGATCGCGGGGGAAATTGGCTTTGGGAAGGGGAGCCGGAATTAAACATGACATATTTGGCGATGTGGGGTTCGCTAAAAGGCAACAAGGGATGATATAGGACAGATACCGGGAAAAATCTGTCTAGAAAAAGGGTGATCAGGATTATAACGCGAGTAATTGGACGTTAAGGGATCCGCATTACCGTCAGACAGTCTAATATGACCAGGGGTGGGGGCAAAAAACGACAACTATAAGGCATCCCCCTGCGCACTTTTTCGATGAGGGGGCCAGAGGGGGCCACATCGAGGATTTGCCCCGCCATAGCCCCCTCATGAGGCGGGGCCATGAGGGGGCCAGAGGAGGCTGGTGCTGGCAGGGCCGTTTGCGCTCGTTCACCTCTGACGCTTTTACGAATACTCCCTGTATTACAATGGTAGTTCGTTTGATATTTGTTGCATCTAAAAGATTGGACTCAATTTAATGCTAATATACACCTGTCAATCCGCCAAAATTGCAGTTGGTGCAAGACAATGAAAACAGCTCTCCAAATTCAGTCGAACCCTTTTTCAAATACAGTGGTCGACCTTCGAGAGGTCGATGTGATGTCCGAAAATGTTGCTTCTGAGTGCACAATGGTTTTTATTATGATGTAGTGGAAATGCATCATACACGTTAACCCAAATACGAAAAGAAAAACTGAGACCAACCAAATACAGAGAAGGACTTTTTATGGTTGTCAGGATGCTGAATAAATCTCAGTTTTTGTTTTATTCACCTGAGTCGTTAAAATCAAGATACAGTTAGTATGACCGGTCGTTAATGATAATTAATGACCGTCGAACGATGACTTGTGTTTTGCGTGTGTAACTCCGCATCCATGAAATCAGAATGGGCAGTGTCGGTCACATCTATAAATAAATGATTAGGGGAGCATCGAACTGTTGTGGTGTTCTCGCACCAAGGTCTACAGTAGAAAGGAGGAAGAAGTACCGGCAGCAAAAGAAGGCATGAGGAACATTGGTTTTGTGGCATGGAGTTGTTTTTTCGGAAAAAAAAAGAAACATTCCAGGAGCAGAACAAGCAATAAAGGGGATGTAGACACTGGTAAAACGTCAGCAGGAGCCTAAACTTCGGATATAATATATACGTATGCGAATTTGGTAAGAAAATAATTTTAATGTTAATAGACCAAGAGGAATTAAAAGACAGTAATACCAAAAGACAGGAATGACGGGACTTCAATGAGGAGACTGGATAAGAAGACGTTTGGGGAGATGGACCCAGTCTGAGGATGTTATCCCCTCATTTTCTTATCATATAGAGGAGAACACTCGTCTTGCATTCCTGCAGTAACCCGATTACTGTTTTCCTAAGAAGTTCGGGACCAGTCACAGCTTTTGGCGGAGTTTCCAAAGCCAACGTCGTCAAGTATTTAATAAATTGGGTTCAGAAATCAGGCCGTCAGGGTAATATTGAGGCGTGCATTGACATGCCTCAAATCTTTGCGCAAAACCCCACCATTCCGGTAAGACAGTAATTTTGGATAGAGCTGGGAAACAGAGGCAGTTTTTTGGGAGGAATGAATGAGAACTCATGGTTAGATCTAAGCGTATGTATTAACTTCCACTATATTTACAGCGAAAAAGGAACGTAGTCACTACGGTCGAGCAGTTCGATGATGGAAACCATGTTTAAAAATATGGCAGACAAATTTGCGTTTGAATAGATAGTTTTTGAGAAAATGCCAATGGCAGTTGGCATAAAACAACTAGATAGTAATTAAAGGCTA